AGGTCGAGTGAAATACTTGAAACAGGGAGCTAGTAGACGGATCCATAGCCGCAGGTTAGTCTACCATCCAGCTTGAGAATCCAGATTTTGTCGACCTACTTAGCGAGGCGGGAGTATATGTGCCATCTAAGGCAGAATGTGGGAACTAACGCTTCGAGTAGCACAAATAGGGTGGTACAGGTCACCTGAACCAAGGAGATAGCGAACAGATCCTACCGATAAAACCTATGAGACAAGGATTGCGGAATAATATGGTGGACTTAGATCAACATTCCCAATAGAAGGATGTGGGGGTGGAGGTAAGAAAGCCAGTGTGGGGTGTAAAGAGGTCTAATGAAATCCGCTTAAAATGTTACACCATATTGCGATTAGTTAAGCAATTAAGAAATTGTGATAGTGAACGGGTGTGCGAGGATATAGAATAGATGAATAGTCCAGGACAGGAGAGATATCAAAACAGTTTAGCAGACAATTGGTCAAAAGATCGACTTCACTTGTCTCGTTGACGAGTTGTAATGTGGTGCTAAGAATGGCGAAGTAGTGAAGATGCCGGTGAAAGGTCTGGGAATGTACCAAGTCCACGATCCGACTGGAAATTATCATGCATACTATGGACTCCGGACTAGGTGTGTCCTTCTAGGTCTTCCTGCCAATATGAACAAGTTGCAAAATCAAGGTCAAATAACTACCGTCAGACCTTCGATTAATTTAATTAGATTTATGGATTTTAGATAATTTTTTCCTGATTAAAAAAATGAAATGAGTGAACTGACATACCTGGCTAATTTGACTAAGTTTTTCCAAAATGGCAGGCCCGATGAGTGAGATATGAGTATCAGCCAGATTATCTAGAGATGGACAAGAGTTAATAGCAACATTTGTGGAAACATCCTTCCCACAGCTGAAAGTCGATCGAGCGTGTGAAGTATCGCAACTTAGCTTGCTGCCTACCACAATACTGGGTCCCTTTGCACGAGGACTAGGGGTTTCCTTTGGTCCTCCACCTGGTAAAAGGCTGTGGAGGATGCGTGAGGGTACATCAATTGGAACTGGCTGTTGTGTACCCGAATCAAATCTACCTGGTCCACTGAAGTTTGAGAGAGCGACGCACGTCAGTCGCCAGACCAAGTAGATTGATTGTTCCAGAAGAGCTATTGGGGATAGAAATGATATATAGAATATCAACTAAAAGATTAATTAATTAATTATTGAGATTGAAATGAGAATAACAATATTAAGACATAATGTTGAGCATATATTGGACTTGTTTTACTCATTTTATATTAAAATGCCAGACCAATTATAGAAAGAAGAGCAAAGTAACGAGCTATAATTAAGTTTTTATAAGCAAGTATACAGATGTATATATCGCATAAATAGAGAATGAGTTGATATTTGGCCTAAAAAGTGATTCACTTCGATAAGTTGTAACTGTGCACACAATGGCACCTCTCGCTGACTGAATACTAATAAATTATAATGTCACTTTTTAAGCTACTTCCAAGATTAATTATACTTATTCCTTTTGATTCGACCTTGCTTTCGCAACATTGTCGGAGAGTCAGGGAGACCTTGTGGAACGTACCTAGTCCCATGTGTCCGCCATAGAATTCGTGATTTCTAGAATTGGACCATTGGCTGGGTACATTCCCAAACGTTTCGTCTGCATCGTCAATG